TGGGGCATGAGGGTGCTAATGTGCAGAGTTAGCTGGCAGGCAGCCCCCATACTTTAATACCCTAGTGCCCCAGCCAGCCTCTGTCTACCCGTGCATTTGATCACACATAATTACTCTGCTATAAGAAAGTACTGTCCTCCACAGTACTATCTTACAGTGGAGTTAATTAATTTACTGAGCCCTAACACTGGCACATGTATACACTGTGATGCTTTACTGCGGAGCTAATTAGTCTACTCCACAGTCAAGTGCATGTGTAGATGCACCTGTTAAGTAGCATTGGGCCTTCCCCACTACACAATGACAATCTCAAATGGAGCGGGATGTAATGTTGACAGTTCAGTCGGTGGCACTCAAATCAGCCCTAATGTGACACCTTGCATGGATGCTACAGGGAGCTGTATGAGGCCACCTAATAGTTGAAACCACATCTGTAGCCATTCAAGAATTACCACAGGTTCAGGCACAGAAAAGGATCAAAAGTTCACCAATTTTAGCACACAAGATGATTCATTTCAAAATGTATTCTGAGGTTTGCTGTTCTCTGCTTGTCATGGTCACATCTGAACAAGTTGTAGGGCCCCAAAGCCATGTCAGCAAAGCCCCTAGTGGAGTTGCAGCCTATGCCAACTGAGGAGAGGTTGCTTTCTGCCGATGCAGCAACACCACCTCCATTAACAATTAAACTGAGCAAAGCCCTCTTCTTTTGGCAGAGCTGCATCCACAACAGGGGTTTTGCCGGGACAGCTAGGTCAGGTAGGGAGTACGACACACCCCATACAGCATAGCTATGCCAGCAGAAGGTTAGGAAGACTAAGTAAGATGCAAGGATTTATTCAGGTGATATCACTTATTGAACCAACTGCATAGTTGGGATAGAGTTAGACAAGCGTTTGAATGCAAGATGTTCTTGTTTAAGGTCCTAATGATACAGGTAGATACAGGTCTTGAAGAAAACGACCTAAAGACAAATATTTTGCATTTCAAATGCTTGTCTTACTCTATCTCCACTATGCAGTTGGTCCAATAAAAAATATCACCGTAAGAAATTCTTGCTTTTTGTATAATTCCTAGACCATCATATCCACATCACTCTTACCACTGCCCTACCTCAAATCATCCACACTACGGATGAATAGTAGATGCTGTTGTTGTTAATGTATGACTGGAAGTACTGTGAGAAAATGAGTTGAGCTTAAGTTTAGGTAGAGGGATACATTATTCACTATGAATAATAGTCAGTGCTTATTTCCAGCTTTCAGTTTTAAGATTTTTGTTCAGCTGCTCATGCTTAGTGCACTCTGTTTTCTGCACACAAATCATTTGCAAGCCTATCTTGAGAGTGTAGTTATTGCTCCAAAGTATTTACTACGCAGTTTCTGTAAGTCAAATTCAGACTTTGGTTGGCTGAGAAATGTCCACTTCTTCTGTGGGCTATTTATGTCCCACCGTGGGCAATTAATTCAATGTACTTACATGCAGAGCAGGGCAGGAAATTATTTCCCCATCCTATGACATTTTTTTGTAGTTTTCCAGGGCAAAAAGTGTGTTCTATATCAGAATAAAAGCAAATCATCTGAGAGTTTTGCATGAAAACTAGGAGACCTCACCCATCCTAGAGTATTCAGGGGTCCAATGGGTAGGGCATTTTCATGTGGAAGAGCAAGAGTCCCCGCTCCAGTGGATGTTGATTTATAAAAAGTGGGATAAGTCCAAGAGAGAATGAGAAACCCATCCCAGAAGGACCAACTGCTTGGTGCTAATGGTGTGGATCATGGAGGCTGAGATAAAGGCCCCTGGTCTGACTCAGACAGAGCAGGGACTTGTACCTGGACCTCTCCCATCTCCAGTAAGGAAGTCCTAGGTTTTGGTTATTATGGTGTGAGTGAGTTTTGATTGGACCAGAAATTTTCAAGAGCTGAGAAATCTTTCCTGTCAAAACAGTGGCATGCATTACAGTGAAAAGTCCTATGTAAAAAATTACGTTTTCCCCAGGAAAATTTGACCAGCTCCAGGTTCATACTCCTATAAACAGAAGAAAAATTTAAACAGGCATTTTAGACTTCAATCACAAATGCCAGTTTCATAGTTTCAGGGTCGGAAGGGACCTAATAGATCTTCTAGCCCGCCCCCCCGCCAGGGCGGGAGAACAACCCAAAAAACACAAACAAAACCACTCACCCTAAAAACAAAAACGGGACTCAAATGAGTCCAGCCAGGTAAGTATCCAGCCTCTTCTTAAAGATCCCCAGGGTAGGGGCCAGCACCACCTCCCTTGGAAGTTGGTTCCAGCTCCTAGCCGCCCTGACTGTGAAGTAGTTTTTTCGGATGTCCAATCTGTACCTCCTCTCCATCAACTTGTGCCCATTACTCCTTGTTATGCCAGCGGGGGCTAGGGGAAACAGCGTCTCCCCCAAACCCTTCTGGTTCCCCCTAGTGAGTTTATAGACGGTCACCAGGTCCCCCCTCAGCCTTCTCTTGTGGAGGCTGAATAGGTTCAAGTCCCGCAGTCTCTCACTGTAGGGTCTGCCCTGTTGTCCCCGGATCATGCGGGTGGCCCTCCTCTGGACCCTCTCCATGTTGTCCACATCCCTCCTGAAATGGGGCGCACAGAACTGGACACAATACTCCAGCTGCGGCCTGACCAGCGTCGCATAGAGGGGGAGGATCACCTCCCTGGCTCTACTCGAGATGCACCTGTGGATGCACGACAAGGTCCGGTTAGCCCTGCCAACCATGACCTCGCATTGTCGGCCCATGTTCATCTTGGAGTCAATAATGACACCAAGATCCCTTTCCGCCTCCGTGCTCTCAAGTAGGGAGCTCCCCATCGTATAAGTGTGCTGCTGGTTCCTACTACCCAAGTGCAGCACCCTGCACTTGTCCGTATTGAAACACATCCTGTTCCTGTTTGCCCACCCCTGTAACCTATCCAGATCCTTCTGCAATCTCTCTCTCCCTGCTAGCGTGCTCACCTCCCCCCAAATTTTGGTGTCATCAGCGAATTTAAACAGGTTGCTCTCCACCCCAACATCAAGATCGCTGATGAAGAAATTGAACAGCGCAGGCCCCAGGACCGAGCCCTGGGGGACTCCACTACCCACCTCCCCCCAAGGGCATATGATAGGAATAATTTAGGGGTTTTGTCTATTGTAACTGATACAGTGAGACTTATCAGGTTGGTCTGACATGATCTCCCCCTAATAAATCCATGCTGATTGCCCCTGAGCATCATCTCGGATGCCGGCCCATCACAAATGTGCTCCTTGATGATCTTCTCAAAGAGCTTCCCCAGGATTGAGGTAAGACTGACGGGCCTATAATTGCCTGGGTCCTCCCTTTTCCCTTTTTTGAAGATGGGGACCACATTAGCTACCTTCCAATCGTCTGGCACCTGGCCCAAGCACCACGATCGCTCGTAGAGCCGTGCCAGGGGCCCTGCAATAACCCCACGATGGATTCTGGGAAAATGTTTGTCTGTTCTAGACACGAGGCAAAACTGTCGGAGGGTATTGAACAACTAACAGCAGCCAGTCATGTAGCCTGTGTCTACAAAGCGATCCCCTCGCGTCCGGCTTCTATCACAGCAGGGAAGTCCCGGTCCCTGCACAAGAAAACGGAGGTGAAGAATTGGTTAAAGAGGTCCGCTTTATCCTCTGACGCAACCACCAGATTGCCCCGCATATCCTGCAGGGGCCCCACATTACCTGGCGCCTTCTTCATCCTCCCAATATATTTGAAAAAGGACTTTTTGTTATCCTTAATCCTGGACGCTAATCCGAGCTCTATCTCCGCCTTGGCCTTCCTAACAGCCCGCCTGCAGGCCCGAGCAGAGGAGGTATACTCCTCTTTGGAGATTACACCCAGAGATTACAGTCTTCGTAAGAGTTAGGGCATTGATCTTCTTTGGTCTCGGATACATTTCAGCATAGTTATTTCGTCTAAATTTCATATAAAAATTCATTTTCATAGGTTTAGGTTTTAAGGCTAGAAGGGACTTTTTTGATCCATACCTGGCCTCCTATATGTCATGGTTCATTATATTTCACCCAGTTAGCCCTGCTTTGAACCCAATAACTTGGGCTAGACTTGGGGGAGGAGAGGTTCATGCACCCCTGGGACAAGGAGATTGCCACAGCCGTGATGCTCCCACCTTGGGGGTTTGCTGGGAGGTATGTTGCAGGA